AAAAATAGAAATAATATAAATAAATGATAAATATATTAATTTTGAGGTTATAATTTATATATATTTGTATTGACTTTAATTTAAATGAATTAATATATGTAATAAAAAAATAATATTAAGCGAAAGAGATTAGATATATAAATAAAGATAGGTAATTTGCAGAAAATATTGAATTATTAATATAATTATTGAATCAATTCCAAACAATAAATTATGGAAATTTAGGAAATGGTATATACTTTATAATTTAATTATTAGTTAATTTATAAGATTTTAATAAAAAAAATTATATAATATTATCATATATCTATATAATAATAGTACTATTATTACTATTACTAAATTATACTATGTAATTGCTAAAAATTAAGATATGTAAAATAAGAATTTCAAAATTTTGATTTTAGTTTCTAACAAATAACTATATACATAGAAAAAAATAAAATAATAAATGAAAAAAATAGTTAAGTATATTTGTGAATATCTATTAAATTTAAAAAAAAACATTAAATTTTTTTAATTTCAATTTGCGTTTTTATTTTGATATCCGAATATGTTGGTTCAAACATTATTTGTATATAAAGTTTTGTATTTTTAAAAAAATTTTATGAATTATATGAAACTACTATGTTTTATTTAATCTGCTTAATAAATTTAAAATTTCAATCTTTACTTATAATCGTTTTATTATTTTTTTCATATAAATAAATATTTCATAAAATTAAAATTCGTGAGAATTCGAAGTAACTTCTAGTAACTTTTAAAACTTCTAATACTTGATTGACTATTAAAAATTTGAACATTGTTGCCATATTTATTCTCTAAACTTGTGTTTAGTTAAATATATATATATATTTATAATTTCTTGTTAAGGTATATTTACATGCATTTTGTTAATATTTTAACTAATACATTATGCTTGAATAATCTTTAAAATTTTAATTATTTTAAAATTAGCGTTTTAAATTTTTCATTTTTTCTTATATTGTTTAAAAGTTATAATTATATAATATAAATTATTTTCAATCTACTATTGCATATATTCAAAAATATATATTATTTATATATTTAATATATTAATAATATATATATATATATATATTATTTGATTATATATAAAAATTATAATATTAAAAAAATTAAGTATTTTTATTTTATAAATATATATATCTAATTTTTTTAAATATAAACATTATATATGTATTTATTAATATATTTAAAAATAATAGAATATTGCTTACTTAAAAATTAACAAGAATATAATAAAAATATATATATATAATCTATAAATTGTACAATATTTTGAAATTTAAAGATAAAGAGTAATTAGATATTTCTAAATATTTCTTGTGAAAGTTAAATTTATTAATGATATTGTTGACTTTATGAGAAAAAAGAATATTTTAGAGAGCGCCACGTGCATATTAATGAAAACACGTCATCGTCATATGTAACAATATATAAGAAGAAGAATTCTTCTTCAAATAAGAATTTCAAATTTAACTATGTGAAAATTGTTTTTTTTTTTTTGCATAATTAATAATTTTCTTATTAACTAATAAATACTTAAAAAATGTAACAATTTTAAATACAGTATGGATATTGTTCTAACCTAACATTTTCTCTTTAAACGAATACTAGGTAAGTTCATCTAATTGTTATATATTTATATTAAAAAATAAATTTCTTTATAAAATTGTATAATGTTATAAAAATTAATTGTATCAATAGTTAATTTTTAATTAGTAAAATTCCTTCTATATAATAGTACTATATACAATTATAAATCCTTAAATATATATTCTATATATTTTATAAATTTTTTGTTGACAAAGAATTTAATTAAAGAATTTATTTTTAACTTTCTTTTTAAATTTATTAANTACTATATTTTTTTATTATATATTTTATTATATATTTTTTATTATATAATTTTTTATTATATATATTATATTTTTATATTATATTATATAATATTAATATAATTAATTCATTACTAATAGAAAATATAAATATTATATTATACTTGTTATTATATAATAATATTATTGATTTGTTTTATTTATAGCAAAATATAAAATATGATGTCCAATGGTATTTGGGTTTCTACTAAAGAAGTTGGAGGAAAATCAATGTCAAATAATATCAATTGTTCACCAATATCATCCTCAACATTAAATTCTCCACTTATGAAATTGTCTTCATACTTCTTAGCTGTACGACCATGGTCATTAAGTGCTTCATTAATGCCAACACTTCTTGGATCTGCATTAGCTTATCGATTAACAAACATAGCAAATTTTAGCTGGATATCTTTTATCCTCACAGTATATACAGTTTTTTGTGTACATGGAGCTGGTAATGTAGTAAATACATATTTTGATTATATAAAAGGAGTAGATAGCCGAAAAAGTGATGATAGGATATTAGTAGATCAACTTTTATCAAAGGATGAATTAGTTTCATTAGGTGCATTATTATATACAGCAGGATGTTTAGGTTTTGTTCTATTAACTACCATATCTCCTGCAAAAATGGAACATCTTGCACTTGTGTATTTTGGAGGTTTATCTTCTTCATTTCTTTATACAGGAGGAATAGGATTTAAATATATTGCATTAGGTGATGTTCTTATTTTAGTTATATTTGGTCCTATTTCAGTTTTGTTTGCATTCATGGCTCAAACTGGTTATATTGAATTAGGTACAATATATTATGCTATACCTCTTGCTCTAAATACAGAAGCTATTTTACATAGTAACAATACCCGAGATTTAGAGAGTGATAAAAGAGCAGGAATAGTAACATTAGCTATTTTAATAGGTCACACTGTATCTCATGTTTTATATGCTTTTTTATTATTCACACCATATGTAACTCTGGTGGTGCTTGCATTAAGGTATTCTATATGGTTTCTGTTACCAGTTATTACTTTACCAACTGCGTTCAAAATAGAAAAACAATTTAGAAGCCCTCATATGATTCAGAGTGTGCCTAAGCAAACAGCTAAATTAAATATGTTTCTGGGCATTTTATATGTTATTGCTTGTTTACTTGTCGATCCTCTTCCCTATCTGTAACATACTTGTATAATTATTTAAAGAAACTCAATGATTCAAATAATTATATAGGCAGCTATTAGCCTATCTATATATGTAATTTTATATAAATCTTTCTTTCTTATCATTATATTTGGATTGTTATAAATTATCTAAAATCAATTAATATTATTTAATCTTCTTACTTTTATGAAAAATTAACTTTTATTAATTTTTTTCATATAAACATTATCATGTATATTATAAAATATTTTTCTTACTTGTATTATATTATGAATATTTATAATACAATAAATATTTGAATATATCTTTCCAATAATATAATGATCTTTAATATGTACAAATTACATTGTTTAAAATCTTGAATTTATACTTTTAATTTTTCCAGTGTGTATAATTAATGTAATATTTTTGCACGTAGGATAGGAATAAAAAAAACATAAATTTATGAAATTATAATTATTTAAATATGTTTATATAATAATTTATTTCAATGTTTAGAAATTAAGTAATATTATTTATGAAAAGAAATCATGTGCATAGCTTTTGTAATTTCGAAAATGTAAGAATTTCGGGAATAAACTTCGAAAATTTTCATGTTTATAAATTAATAAATTTACAAAAAAATGTAATAAATTCTTATAGCATATTAATAATAAATTAATGAAATATATTATTTCATCA